TCACTGCTTTTGGTGTGTTCTGCCTTTTTTATGTCAGTTGATATTGTAACTCACAATGCAGCGGTCCCAATGTGCTGACATTTTAGCAAATCTCGTACAGGGCCAAACTGTAAATAGACGCGGCAGCTAAGAGGACTGGGCCTTCGGAACTCCCGGTCAATTTCCTCTTAGCTGCATTTACCCGGAAGTTCCAGAAAAGGAAACGCACCCAGTGTGCTCCAGGGCAGCTGTAGTTACATGTAGCTCATCACCACCAGGGTGTGAGTGCGTGTTTGTGTGGGTAAATGACTCATCATGTTGTAAAGCGCCTTTTGGGGTTTCTAGGACTCTAGAATGGGCGTTTCATCAAAATCAGGCCAGTTCCCGTTAAAGAGGAACATAAACGGGATCTTTTTATATAAAATATAAATGTATGAGATGAGACTGGAACATAAACTTCCACACAAAAAAGGCTGTAAATTATATTAATTTTTCTGCATTCTTTTCATTTGTTTGAGGCAATGGGGAATATGAAATAAATAAAATGAATGGTAACCAAATTTTGATTGTAATGTTTAACTTTTTATTAAAACCTCTAAGAATGTTTACTGTTAACTTGAGACTTGATAAGCAGGAGAAAAGTCCTGCTGGAGAAACCGGGTGACGTTTGAAGCCTCCTGGTGCTGTGGGAACGGCTGCTTTCTCGGTTCTTTATTTAGAACGACGTGCACACAGAAGGGCATACAGTTTGTCTGTGGGAGTCAACGTTACGGCTCACTCTGACTGTTGTCCTGTTGAAGCCCTACCACGAACTCTCTGCTTAGTCATATTTCACAGACACAATGAGTTTTTTATTCTAACCTGCTGCTTTTTCATGTGACGGTGTTTCCAAATAAACCCATCCTTCCCCTTTAATACAAACACAAACAGCTAGCCAGAATACATATTTTATTAAGCAGAGAAAATACTATTTAGAAGAAAAACACCAAAAATAAATTTCTTTAATACATCAGTTCTTCTCACACGTCTTAGGAAGGTCACTAATACACCAAAGAAAACAAACATCGCCAGTCTATGTGTGAATGACCACTGGGAACCAGTTAGATGTGTCATAAAGTTTAAATAAGCACAGTTTGGCTCAGGTAGAATTAAATCAGAGCATGACGGTCTTCAGCAAGAAGTTGCCAACTCTTGGTATCATTATTTTATCTTTCTGAATAACCTGGCCAACGATGAGGTGTCAGAGTAACACCTGCCAGCTCCATGATAAATGCATGAAGGAGAGCAAACCCAAACACGAATATGAGCGTGAAGAGGAGACCTCAGTGTGGAATTACAACCAAGGGAATTCAAATCTTCTGAAAGAGCTAGAGGAGGACGGCAGCTGGGGTTGGCTTTTGGCAGCTTGGTCTGTTCTGAAGTTGAGTTGGGGGTGGGCATGGCAACAAATCTACTTTTTCCCACGTGAAACAGGAACTGAAACAAGGAAGAAATTCCTTTTTTAACTTGGAATGCAAATATTCACACAAAACCTCACATCCAACCCCTACAGACTCTTTCAACGAGACATTTTCAGACTAGTTCACTACATGCAGACTTCTACAAAAGCAGAATTGAACATGCAGATGGAATGTTTCCATACCTTTTGCTGCTTCTGAGTCTGACTCAGAAACATTTAAGCTGTCCGGCTTCAAATCTTATTTAAAATCATGTTGAGTACAGTTACAGGTGCTGGCCAGTAAATTAGAATATCATCAAAAGGTTGAAAATATTTCAGTAATTCCATTCAAAACGTGAAACTTGTACATTATATTCATGCAATGCACACAGACCAATGTATTTCCGATGTTTATTACGTTTAATTTTGATATTTATAGGTGACAACCAATGAAAACATCAAATCTGGTATCTCAGAAAATTAGAATATTCTAAAGGCCAATGAAAAAATGTTTGTTTCTCTAATGTTGGCCAACTGAAAAGAATGAACATGAAAAGAATGTGCATGTATAGCACTCAATACTTAGTCGGGGCTCCTTTTGCCTCAATAACTGCAGTAATGCGGCGTGGCATGGACTCGATCAGTCTGTGGCACTGCTCAGGTGTTATGAGAGCCCAGGTTGCTCTGATAGTCGTCTTCAGCTCCTCTGCATTGTTGGGACTAGCGTATTGCATCCTCCGCTTCACAATACCCCATAGATTTTCTATGGGGTTAAGGTCAGGCGAGTTTGCTGGCCAATCAAGGACAGGGATACCATGGTCCTTGAACCAGGTGCTGGTGGTTTTGGCACTGTGTGCAGGTGCCAAGTCCTGTTGAAAGGTGAAGTCTGCATCCCCATAAAGTTGGTCAGCAGCAGGAAGCATGAAGTGCTCTAAAACTTCCTGGTAGACGGCTGCATTGACCCTGGACCTCAGGAAACAGAGTGGGCCAACACCGGCAGATGACATGGCACCCCACACCATCACTGACGGTGGAAACTTTACACTGGACCTCATGCAACGTGGATTCTGTGCTTCTCCGCTCTTCCTCCAGACTCTGGGTCCTTGATTTCCAAAGGAAATGCAGAACTTGCTTTCATCAGAAAACATAACTTTGGACCACTCAGCATCAGTCCAGTCCTTTTTGTCCTTGGCCCAGGCGAGACGCTTCTTGCGCTGTTTCTTGTTCAAGAGTGGCTTGACACACGGAATGCGACACCTGAATCCCATGTCTTTCATGAGTCTCCTCGTGGTGGTTCTTGAAGCGCTGACTCCAGCTGCAGTCCACTCTTTGTGGATCTCCCCCACATTTTTGAATGGGTTTGTCGTCACAATTCTCTGCAGGGTGCGGTTATCCCTAGAGCTTGTACACTTTTTTCTACCACATTTTTTCCGTCCCTTCGCCTGTCTGTTAATGTGCTTGGACACAGAGCTCTGCGAACAGCCAGCTTCTTTAGCAATCACCTTTTGTGTCTTGCCCTCCTTGTGCAAGGTGTCAATGATTGTCTTTTGGACAGCTGTTAAGTCAGAAGTCTTCCCCATGATTGTGGGGCCTTCAAAACAAGACTGAGGGACCTTTTAAAGGCCTTTGCAGGTGTTTTGAGTAAATCAGCTGATTAGAGTGGCAGCAGGTGTCTTCTATATTCAGCCTTTTCAGAATATTCTAATTTTTTGAGATACCAAATTTGGAGTTTTCATTAGTTGTCACTTATGAACATCAAATTTAAATGTAATGAACATTGGAAATACATTGGTCTGTGTGCATTGCATGAATATAATGTACAAGTTTCACGTTTTGAATGGAATTACTGAGATATTTTCAACCTTTTGATGATATTCTAATTTACTGGCCAGCACCTGTATAGGAAAAAAAAAACCTTCATAAATTCTAGGTCTCTGCAAAGCGTGCTCTCAGAAAACGTCACTCTTTAGTTGAGTGAAAGACAGAAAGGTTGGTCTTAGCGAAAGTCTGTATGAATACTTCAAGAACCCCGATGGGGTTGTTTTATATGCTGGGGACAATAATTCCTCATTTTCCAATCAGTTCAAATACTTTTAACCCTTTTAAAGAGCAAGTCACCCCCTACCAGAGTATTACTCCACTCCCACTTCCTATTTGAAAAATGCAACAAATGCTTCTTGCCTAGCAGATTGAGAGGGCGGAGCCACTAACAAATACACACACACGCACACACACACACACACACACACACACACACACACACACACACACACACACACACACACACACACACACACACACACAGAGGCTCACAACTACATTGTGACATCATATGGTACCAGCTAACATCCTAGGGTACCTCTTAGCCAATAGCGATGGCAGATTTAAATTCAAATACAGTGCAGAGTTTTTACCTGACAACAGCACAACACTGACAGTTTTTAGGCAGAAAATTAAAATTTTAACTAAAATGCACTAAAGTGCTAAACTATTGAGTACACGTGTCTGCAGCACGATCAGACACGCATTCATATAGTTTATCAGACAAATAAGTTGATTTGGGGGTGACTTGCTCTTTAAACAATCTCCTTTAACATGCAGGTAGAGGTATCTACAGCAGAAACATTTTGACAATTGAGTTTGTTGGGTTTTATATTGCAGATACATTTTTATATTATTGATTATTTTGTTAAAATGTACAGTACTCCAGTATTATATTGACATGGCAGGTTTCTGATGAAGGTACTAATCATGATACTCAATCTGAATGTTTTAAGGCCAGTAGTGATTTGAGAGGGTTAATCCAGTAATTTCCAACTTGTAGCACAAAGGGCACATAAAAAGTTTAGAGCAAAGCAATGCTGTATCCCACAATTAAATGTTAAATGTAGTTAAAGAGCAAGAAACAAGAAAAATACTACTTATTTACCAAGAAGTTGTAATCTTGAAGTTGAGGCTAAACAAAACACTTTGATTTTGATAGCCAACATGTGCTAGCAGGTTAATGTTTACAGAAAATTATGTGACTAATTATGGAGTAAAAAAATAAATCTAAATATCTGAAATGATTTGATGAAACATGTAATGAATAAATGTTTCTTTTAAAAGAATGTTGATTGCTAATTTAGCATAAAAGCAGGAGGGTAGCATCTGAACTGGTTATGTAGCAACTAGCAAAACAAAACACCGATAGGCGTTTTTTATATCAACAAGTTAGAATAACCGTTGCTAAATGATCTCTGTTTATCAAAGCAAAGAGACAAATGTTGGAATAGATGAGTGGGGTGGGTTTGAAACCACTTATGAGCTACTGAACAACTGAAGGAATTGATGTGAATAATGTTTTAATGTTTAGTTACATCCTATAAAACACCTAAGCTAATTTCAGCTGTAGAACAAATAATTACGTTTCCTTAACTTTGTTTTAGGAAAGCATATTTAAATTTTAAAATGAATCTAAAAACACCCCGAAACCACATGAATTTATGAATATGTTCTGTCTCTCCGTGTGATATTGCCACGCTAGACCTAAAACTGTAGTTGGAATGGCTTAAAGCTCGCTGATAAATGTTTGGGAACCCACTGGAGGTTGTGACTTTGTTTTAATGTGTTTATACTGACTCGATTTTCCAGAACACAACTTTTAATTTCCACACAGTTCAGCATTTAAACACCAGCTTCTACATTAGGTTTTATTCGGAAAAAGTTTCTAGACGTCATACCCATACAGCGAAAAATCTTCAAACAGACAATTGGATTTTCAATCAACATCTTTTCATTTACTAGTTATTTCAAAAAGAAGTTTTGCAACATATTCTGGTTAAGTCCACCATAAAATGATCAGTGTTTCACCTTTTAAAAACATCACGTGTCGACCCATCAGAACAGAGGAGTGAGTTTGAAAAGAAAATATGATCATAAAAATGATTACACATGTAGAGATTAGACGTTGCTCTGTAAAGTGGACAAACACGGGAGAAAAATCATGGCAGTTGTCTAGATTCAGGCAAACGCAAAAGATGTAAACTTTAGACACGACAGAGGCTGATGCTTGTGCTTGTTCTGGCAGTGAGAGACACTGATTAGACAGTCCAGACCCAAATGGCATCGCTCCACCCGGCCGTCGAGCCAGCTCACAGGTTCTTGTGGGAGTCGTGTTGGCACGGGCCTTGGTTTACAGTGTTCAGGAAGGGTAACTCCTCGCCGCAGCCTCGGAGCTTCAGAACCCGACTGTTCAGATCCAAGCAGCACTGTGAGAGGTTTAGCAGGTGGGGAAAAGTACAATTAATGCACTGAATAATTCATGAGTCTGAACTGATAGGTGCTGGCAGAATTCAGTGTTTACTTAGATGGATTTTACAATAGTCACACAACACTACGGTTTACATTTTAGGACATCCTCGGGGCTCAGGAAAACATTGTCAGACATCAGATCAAATGGTATCTAACCGTTGGGAAAAAAGCAACAGGTTTCATTTCAATCTCATCAGATGGGTTTTTGAATGTAACCTGATGCTTTTTTCTTTATGGACTTTTTTGGGGCCCATGTGATATTATTTCCTCATGAAAAAAAAAACAAAACCTTTTTTTGGCTGCATTCATGCATTTTACTTTCTCACCTGCAAATTTTGAGTTTTACTTTGAAAATCCTGTAAATTGAGAGGAGCCAGTTGAGGTGGCTCGGGCATCTGATTAGGTCGTCTCTAATACAAATATGCAGACATGATGCCACTAATTGTACTTAACCTATTAATATTTTTAACAAAAATGCATAAGCTACAGGATAAAATCACCTTTGATTTATAGAATTAGAGCTCATGTTCTTTTCACACCCTGGAGTTCTTCTGTAATCGGGCATTTCACAGCACAAAGCACCATTCATGTAACTCTGAAACAAGCACCACCCGCAAATTGGCATGTACTGTTTTCTTTTAGCCTGGCCTGCCAGACTCGTCCTCTGTTTAATTCTGCACAGAGAGAGAGAGTCTGGTAACTCACAGGCAGAGAGGCACATGAGGGGCGGGACTAGCCAGCTCATAAAGAACCAATCAGAAAAAAGACGGAAATGCCGACTGTACCGCACGACGCTGTAGTTTATTAGCTGTAGTCAAAAATGGTGTCTGGCTATGGCGCCAACATCTTATTTATTTTTTAGAAGAAAGGCTTTTAGCGCGTCTACTTGTTGTTTTAAAGACGTGTCCAAGTCATTTAGACCAGGGGAAAGAGCCACAGCGAACTCCGCTTCAGTCGCCATGTTTACGACAAACTCGGTGTTGTGGTGTGTGGCGTACGCTGCTCAGCGCTGATTTGCTCTGTTAGAATTCTCGGGGGTGGGGTTATTGGAATAGGAGAGTTCCCAGACCCTTTCTCTGTTCAGAATTAAACAGAGGAGGAGTCTGGCAGGCCAGGCTAATTTTCTTTGGCTTTAAATGACATTTTTTTTAATGTGCACATTAAGAAGAAGAAGAAAATTCACATCACAGAATTTCCTGAATTTGCTCTTATCTAGTTTTGAGCCACTGATAACGGGCTGCACCGCCATCCTCCTTTGCTTTTCTCCTCAGAATACAGCAACAATTTAAAATTCTGCTGCCATCTTATCTTCCTTTTGCGCTCTTTTATTAGTGCCTTTTGTTTTTCTTTTTATTGCTTATTTAATAGGCATTTTAGTCCGTTTGAAAACATACACACACGCACGCGCGCGCACACACACACAGGAATACACACTGTGGCTCACAAATATTAGCAAGGCAAATGAGGATCTTACTTTAAGTTCCAGCAGAGTCTGCAGACCGAGGCACAGTTCATATGCCTCATCGTCTAAAGGGGAAAAAGAGGAAAGATGAGAGCAGAGCGGGAATTCTCATTCATTAACAGCCTCAACTCAACATGCATAAATTAGCCTGAAGTAGAACAAAACTGTTCTACTAAATGTTCCTTCCTGTGATAATGAGAGCTGTTGAGCTTCTGTTCTTGTGAAGATGGGTGTGAGATTTTAGTGGGAAAGTTAGATGCTAATATCAATAAGGCCTGATCCTAGGACTGAATTTGTGACATAGAATTAAAGTCATTATTACATGACTCAATTCAGGATCATTTAACATGTTTAAAACTTTACAAATCATCCCATTTCCTGACAAGCTGATGATGCATGGCAGGTGTGGAATAAATTTTTTGGAGGAATATTTTCTCTGAACAAAATTCACCTGCAACCACCAAACCACAGAGAAAACACATCAGTTCTTACAGAATGCAACCTTTTTCATGACATAAATAACAGCTGGCATTTGATCCCGGGGATGATCAATGATGCAACATGGCTCAGATTGAGAAAGTTTATTTTTTATTTACAGCAGACTTTGGTCCTGTGCCTAAACCAGACTATTAATAATCAATGATCCAATAAGAAAAACACAACAGTTTATTTTCCCATCAATAACTTTGCTTTTTGTTCTGTTTCCATCTTGGTGCTTGATCTTCTTCTGAAATGTTTTTTATTTTCGCAGAATTACAAGAATGGCCGGCAGTACGTCGGGCTCATTTCCAGTGAGAGTTGGACACCACCAAGGCTGCCCTTTGACATCGATTCTGTTCACAACTTTTATGGACAGGATTTCTAGGCACAGCCAAGGTGGTGAGGGTATTCGTTTTGGTGACTTGAGGATGAGGTCTCTGCTTTTTGCAGATGATGTGGTCCTGTTGGCCCTCACCTATGGTCACAAGCTTTTGGTAGTGACCGAAAAAACAAGATCACTGATACAAGCGGCCAAAATGTTCTCATTTCGCAGGGTGGCTGGGCTCTCCCCAAGAGAGGTGGCTTTGGCATCTGGTTAGGATGCCTCCTAGATGCCTCCCTGGAGGCCCAGACCTCTGTGCTTAGGCTACTGACCCCAGATAAGAGCAGGAAGATGGATGGATGGACGGATGGATAGCTCTCAGAAACAGATTAAACAGAATTATTGAATTCGTCTATAAAGAAATCATGAAACAGAAATATTAATATTAAAATGCTCTATACATTTATCGTCGTTGTCGTCGTCTTCCTCCGCTTATCCGGGTCCGGGTCGCTGGGGCAGCATCCCAACTAGGGAGCTCCAGGCCGTCCTCTCCCCGGCCACCTCCACCAGCTCCTCCGGCAAGACCCCAAGGCGTTCCTGGACCAGATTGGAGATGTAACCTCTCCAACGTGTCCTGGGTCGACCCGGGGACCTCCTGCCGGCAGGACATGCCCGAAACACCTCCCCAGGGAGGCGTCCAGGAGGCATCCTGACCAGATGCCCAAACCACCTCAACTGACTCCTTTCGATCCAGAGGAGCAGCGTTTCTACTCCGAGTCCCTCCCGAATGACCACGCTCCTCACCCTACTTCTAAGGCTGAGCCCGGCCACCCTACGAAGGAAACTCATTTCGGCCGCTTGTATCCGCGATGTTGTTCTTTCAGTCATTACCCAAAGCTCATGACCATAGGTGAGGATTGGGACGTAGATCGACCGGTAAATCGAGAGCCTGGCTTTCTGGCTCAGCTCCCTCTTCACCACGACAGATCGGCTCAGCGTCCGCATCACTGCAGACACCGAACCAATCCGCCCGTCGATCTCCCGATCCCTCCTACCCTCACTCGTGAACAAGACCCCGAGATACTTTAACTCCTCCACTTGAGGTAGGACCTCTCTCCCGACCCGGAGTTGGCAAGCCACCCTTTTCCAGTCGAGAACCATGGTCTTAGATTTGGATGTGCTGATCCTCATCCCAGCCGCTTCACACTCGGCCGCAAACCTACCCAGCAAGAGCTGAAGGTCAGAGCTGGATGAAGCTAGGAGGACCACATCATCCGCAAAAAGCAGAGACGAGATTCTCCTGCCACCAAACTTGACACACTCCACACCACGGCTGCACCTAGAAATTCTGTCCATAAAGGTAACGAACAGAACCGGTGACAAAGGGCAGCCCTGGCGGAGTTTAACCCTCACCGGGAACAGGTCCGACTTACTACCGGCTATGCGGACCAAACTCACGCTCCTCTGGGAAAGAGACTGAATGGCCCTTAACAGAAAGCCACCCACCCCATACTCCTGGAGCGTCCCCCACAGGGTGCCTCTGGGGAAACGGTCATAAGCTTTCTCCAAATCCACAAAACACATGTGGATTCGTTGGGCAAACTCCCATGCCCCCTCCATCACCCTTGCAATGGTATAGAGCTGGTCCACAGTTCCACGGCCAGGACGAAAACCACATTGCTCCTCCTCAATCTGAGATTCAACTATCGATCGGACCCTCCTCTCCAGTACCTTGGAGTAGACCTTTCCAGGGAGGCTGAGGAGTGTGATCCCCCTATAGTTGGAACACACCCTCAGGTCACCCTTCTTAAAGATGGGGACCACCACCCCGGTCTGCCACTCCACAGGAACTGCCCCCGAGGACCACGCAATGTTGCAGAGACGTGTCAACCAGGACAGCCTTACAACATCCATAGCCTTGAGATACCCAGGACGAATCTCATCCGCCCCCGGTGTTCCGCCTCTGTGTAGTTGTTTGACTACCTCAGCAAATTCTGCCCCCGAGATTGGACAGTCCATCCCCAGGTCTCCCGGCTCTGGTTCCTCCTCGGAATGCGTGTAGGTGGGATTGAGGAACTCCTCAAAGTATTCCTTCCACCGTCCGACTATAGCCTCAGTTGACGTCAGCAGCTCCCCATCCCCACTGTAAACAGTGTGAGCGAGTTGCTGCCTCCCTCTCCTGAGGTGCCGGACAGTTTGCCAGAACCTCTTTGGAGCCGATCGATAGTCTTTCTCCATGGCCTCACCAAACTCATCCCACACCCGAGATTTTGCCTCGGCCACTGCCACTGCTGCACCCCGCTTGGCTATCCGGTACCTGTCTGCTGCCTCCGGAGACCCACAGACCAGCCACACCCTGTAGGCCTCCTTCTTCAGCCTGACGACTCCCCGAACCTCTGGTGTCCACCAGCGGGTACGGGGGTTGCCACCACGACTGGCACCGGCCACCTTGCGACCACAGCTAGCAACAGCCGCCTCAACAATCACAGAGTGGAACAAGGCCCACTCGGAGTCGATGTCCCCCACTGCTCTCGGGACGCGGTCAAAGCTCTGCCGGAGGTGGGAGTTGATGACCGTCTTGACAGGTTCTTCTGCCAGGCGTTCCCAGCAGACCCTCACTATGCGTTTGGGTCTGCCAGGTCTATGCGGCATCTTCCTCTGCCATCTGATCCAACTCACCACCAGGTGGTGATCAGTTGACAGCTCCGCCCCTCTCTTCACTCGGGTGTCCAAAACATACGGCCGCAGGTCAGATGATACGACTACAAAGTCTATCATCGACCTGTGACCTAGGCTGCTCTGGTACCAAGTGTACTGATGGGCATCCTTATGTTCGAACATTGTGTTCGTTATGGCCAAACTGCGGCTTGCACAGAAGTCCAATGACGAAACACCACTCGAGTTCAGATCAGGTGGGCCGTTCCTCCCAATCACACCCCTCCAGGTCATGCTGTCATTGCCCACGTGAGCATTGAAGTCCCTCAGCAGGACAATGGAGTGCCCTGGTGGAGCACTATCTAGCACTCGTCCCAGGGACTCCAAAAAGGGTGGGTACTCTGAACTCATATTTGGCCCATAAGCACAAAAAACAGTCAGGACCCATTCCCCGACCTGAAGGCGCAGGGAAGCTACCCTCTCGTCCCCCGGGGTAAACTCCAACACACAGGCAGAGAGTCTTGGGGCTAACAAAAAGCCAACCCCAGCCCTCCGCCTCTCACCCGGAGCAACTCCAGCAAAGGAGAGTGTCCAAACCCTCTCAAGGACTTAGGTTCCAGAGCCACTAGCCACGTTTACATGCGCATATTTAATCAGATTGAATGCCCAATCAGATCGAAAATTCTGCATGTAAACATGTCAATCGGAATATTCTGATCCGATTCGGCCCGATCGGATTGAAATTTCAATCCGATTGAGAGAGGTGGTTTATTCCGTTCTTCATTCCGATTGGCGTGCATGTACACAGCCATTCGGATTGTTGGGGTAAAACAATGCCCACTGCGCATGTGTGCAACAGCGAGTGGGCCTCTCCGCTGTCATTTGGACTGCCTGACTTCAAAAATGACGGCGTAATTAACGAGCGGCGGCTTTTAAATCCGACAACAAGCCGTCCCCGTTTCAGTAATATTTAATTCAGAACTTGCATTTTGTGGAAGTAAAATAAAAATCCGATTATTGCACAAATCATTTGACAAACATGTTCAAATCTTTACTGGAAATACGCAGGTTTATTGCGGGGTAATAAGTAATAAAACATGAGTCTAACCCCCCCACCCCCTCTCTGTGCCGCAGCGCAGCGCTACAGCACAGCTGTCACTTCAGACCCGCGGACCAGCTGATCAAGAGGCAGAAACATAACCCTCCCTTATTTTAATCAACAATAAAATGCAGCAAAGCATATCTCTGCAGTTATTCACTGAAGAAAACGTAACTTCTATGAGCTAAATAAAAACATTAAATTGAATAAATGGATCAGGAAAGCAGGAAGAATAGTTATTTCTGTTTTTACACTTTTCATTTCGTTTCATGGCGTTTGTTTACAATTTCTCTTTCGGGAAAGGCAACTCTGCGCATGCTCAACCTATTTATTCGGATTAAATGCTTGGTGCATATGTACGCACGGCATGATCGGATCATTTCATTTCGTGTCCATGTGAACAGAGATTCGGAAATTCCGATCAACCAAGATTTCAATTGGATTGAGGAAATTTGGCACATGTAAACTTATCTATAGCCATGTGTCGAGGTGAGTCCGACTATATCTAGCCGGTACCGCTCAACCTCTGCCACAAGCTCCTGCTCCTTCCCCGCCAGCGAGGTGACGTTCCATGTCCCAAAAACCAGTTTCCTTGTCCGGGGATTGGACCGCCAAGGCTCCCGCCTCGGGCTGCCACCCGATCCACACTGCACCGGACCCTTCATGTTCCTCCTGCGGGTGGTGGGTCCACAGTTTATCATAATCTAGATTTTTCCATTGTCACAGTATGGCTCATTTTGGATTTTCTGTAACACAACTGATGCAGATGTTTCTTTTTTATTCTACCTTTGACAAGAACACATGAGAACCAAGTTGGAAACCCCTGTGGGCATGTAATATTACACCAGGCATACAGTTAAAGCAGCTAAAGCGAATCTGCAGACAAGCTTGGCTTTGAACGCAAACAAGGTCACGCAGCACTCACCCCCTCCCCTCTAGGATCTTCCCTGGGATACTTCTGCCAGAACCAGAACCCCACAATGCTAGAGGAAACAAGATGGCGCTAAACACCAGTCGCTGTTTTCTAGGTCTAAACGTCTTTAGTTCTCCGTGACTTTAAATGGTGGTTTTTGTTTTGGGACTCTGGTAGTTTGTCCTAAAGCTGGCTGTTTCTTCTTGTCTGATATTATTGAGTGGATAACCTCACACACCAGTGGTGTTCTGTTGATTAATACGTGAGTGCATAATGAGTAATAATCATTTAGGACAACCTTCATGATGATGTACATTTACTCAGATCTAAGTAATAAATATAGATGTGTTTAGTATTGAGTAGAAAACGTTGGTATGCTAACTATAGACACGAATACGTAGAAAGCCCATTAGGTACTGGAAGGCGTAACAGCGTCACCGCCATATTGGTTGGGTCTCCTCACTGTCCAAACCCAATTGGAGTCAATGCAGGGTAAGCAACTGTGCCCATTATGTGCAGCCTACTGTTGCAAAAACCGGTGTACTGTTGAGAACAGATCATGTGGGATTACTGTTAACTTTTCTAACATACCTGTTGGGATTTATATTTATTTTATTTAAATATACTTTAACTGTCATGCCATATCATTCGTCTGATTTTGTGAAAAAGCATTAAAATATGTGTTTTTTTAGTTGGGTAAGCACATTCGTCCGTAGAAATAAATGCTCCAAGACAGCGGCTAGCCGCTACGCCAGCTCCAATAGGCAGTGTCAGCCCATGAGTCATCTACATATAGGATGGCTGTGATGCTAACATGCTAAATATATTCTGTAACGGTCATGTAAATTTGTTGGAACTTGCTAGCTAAGGATAGCACTTTAGCTCAAGGCACCACTACACCAAAGTGCAGCCTTCCATCCAGAGAAGTTAGCATAGTTACTTGTAGTCTTTAAGAATTTGAGTCTTCCAGATGCAGTTAGTTTTCTAACTGATATTCTTACCTTTCACATATGCTGAACATCGGGCCGTCTGTCTGCCCAGCTGCAGCTGCAAACCCGTCACTGAGCTGTTAACTCCATATGGAGAACTGTCCTCACTGGGCACCAGTCTAACAACACACAAGTCACACAGTCACACTTGCACAACTTTCTGTGGTTTCAATATTTGGGTAGCTGCCTTCCAGAAACAGATTTTGTTGGAAAAATAGAGTAAAAGCTACAAACATGTCATGCTGATGTGAACCTGTTGCAAAGCAGGGAACACCCTTGACTGTAGTGAGGCCAATCCTGGGAAGAGATGATCGTTCCAACTTTTGTCTGAGCTGACAGCTGTGCGGGCTTGTTATGCGTCTAGCAAGGATGCTGCCAGAAAATCTGAATGCGTGAAAAGGCCTGCAGAGACGGCCTTCATCTACAATGCTCGGATCTGTACGTGAACATTTAGGGACTCGGTGACTCGGTGATTCTGATCAGAGAACCCTATTAACTGATTTTAGTCCTGATAAACAGCAACAACATTTTTGTAAACCACCTCTACCAAAAATACAGCAGCCAGGATGAAAAGGTTGGTTTTAGCTGATTTTAGTGATCGCCATAAAGCTGTGTTGATTTTATAATTCATAATTTATATTTCAAAGATTCTTAATCCAGTTGAGATCCATACATGTAAAACAAAAGCTTTTATTTTTTTTTCTTTGCAAGATTAAGACATACTTCACAAACTGCTCTTGGCAGCCAACATGCTGTTAGAAAACATCTTTGAACTTCTTTTCTTGGATTTATTTATCTTTTTTAGGTATAAACTATTTGATCTGAGCTAATTTTTTATGTGTAGTTGGTTTGTCTCTACATCCCAAATATTATTTATCAGTATACAGCAACCGTGGGGTGTTTGCTGTGAAGAGACGGCATTTCTTACCCGAGCCTCTGGCAGCAGGACACGGAGATGTGGTTATGTATGCTGCCAGTGTTGATGGATGCCTTGACTTCGGTCTCACAGCACTATGAGGAAGACAAAAAGGGGATTCTGGTGTCATGTTTTTTCTTTTTGCCCTGGTGCTGCAGCTCAAAAGGAAACAATTTATCACAACAGCTCATGAACACAGCTCTGAGGAGTGTTTAAAAAGCCCACTGATCTGAAGATTTATCCGACTGCTGTGGACTTTTAAATCTGCCAAATGGAGAAATAAAGTATCTGGTTGCTAATTAACTTATCACAAACTTCCTGTTAGTGGACTCTGTACAAACTAGTTAAATTCTGAGCCTTGATCTGTATCGATCCCGTGTTGCTGCAGTCATTTGATGCACCACGTGGCTAAGGTTAAAATTTAAACTAGTTATATGATTTTGTGTAGGATTTGATGCCTTAAGTTGTTTTCTGGCTTTCAGCTGAAGTATTAAGACTTGTGTTGCCAACAAAAGATGCTGATTCCTCATTTTGTTGAGTGCACTTTGATTTTTCAGGTTTCTACTTCACTGGAGCATGAAATGTTTAGCAAGTGAGTCATATATGCATAAATAACACATTTACAAAGCTGCACTTGGACGTTAAAAACAGGAGACGGGGTTTAATTATTTCTGTAGTGTCAAAATAATTAGTATCTTAAAATTGGAATATTACTGAGTTGCAGACCCAGAAATGGTTGTCTGGTATATGTTATCAATGTCTCGGTGATAACAATGGATCTAATGACGGCAAAATGTGGTGATGGTAGATTCTTAGCAATCAGGCCTGCATTTCCCATCAGCTCAAGAGCTTTTTAACAAAAGTAATCTTTGGTTCAATCTGTGCTTTCATGAAGACCCACTCTCTTTCTGCAGAAAATGTGTTTGTTTCACCCAAGAAAGAGTCAACAAATGACATGTTATTCATGTTGTTACTGTTAAAGGTATAGTAGTAGTTTTTCTGAAGTATTTTTGCCATATTGCTCGAAATGCTCTTTATATACTGACTCAGTGGTGGCTGGTGGCTATATTTGTAGGGTGGGCTAACATACGTTTATTAAAATGCTGCTGTTTAGAGATTTTTTGCCACACGTCAGTAACTGATGGCAACCAGTAAATGAAACATTTTTCAAATGAATCATTGTAATCACCTCTGAAATGTACAATCCTGGAAAAATCAGTCATTGAGAATGTCCAATTCTTAATGACTGAATGCTCGTCCATCAAGGGCGCCCCCAAGGGGTGGCCAGGGGTGGCCACGGCCACCCCTAAAAATTTGCTGGGCCCCCAAGAAAAGCCGGTGTTAATAAATCGTATTAATGTTCAGTCAAACCATAAATTGATCTTGTTTATTCAAGACATAATTGTAAAACAAAATTAAAATAATGCAATGAATGAGTAAAGAAAAATGTTTCTGCTGCTCACCGTTTTAAAAAAGTTTTTATCTCCATTTTTTTTGTGAATACAGCAACACAGGCGAATTAACCTGAAAAAATACCTTTTTTAATTAAATTTGAAATAACATTTTAAATAACTAAAATGTTTTTTTCTGAAATGTTTGTGTTTGGAAAATTTAAGTTAAATGTTTTAGATACGTACTGTTATTTTATTAAATAAAAACAAATAAAGGAGCAGTGCTATACATCACCACAGGCTAAACTCTCCCAGAGTTACCACAAGGACCAATTTGGTGTGCCACCCCAAACATTTATTTGGCCCCATCTGGCCACCCCTATCAAAAATTTCTGGAGGTGCCCCTGTGGTCCATCCACCAAACTTCCCTCTGAATTATACTCCACCCTATTTGTATTTGTGTCGAATCACATGTCTCAGTTTGCAGTAGTTGAACAGGAAGTGAACCCCTTGAATGATGGGCATGAACAGAAAGAAAATTAAAGTGGTACTTCACTGAAAAAACATGTTTCAAGTTTTTGTGATTATAATTGGTCACTCAGTTTTTCATGCAAGCTGAACATGAAAATAGTCTCCTACATCTATCTCCTGCATTAACTTCTGATAGAAAATAGATGCTGAAACTCTAGGATTAGAAAATCCTGACAGATCTACATCACACTGTCGCTTAACATTCATGGACACAACCTTGACTTGTAATGAGGAAGTCTGTTGTTGGTTTTGTGTTCAAGAAACAGCAGAGAACTTCTCTACTAGTAGAAGCTAACCATTATTAACACCACCTGAGCATTGTTTTCCTTGAGTACAGCATACAAGTCATTCATTCCTACTAGAGACCACTGCAAATGTATTAAATAATATGAGTAGGATACCACTTTAAGGGCTGCAATTCCTATTTAGTTTGATAGATATGATTGTGTTATGTTTTATGGTTGTTTGACAGTATCCATTGCATCCAGCATTATCCTGTCTTCTGGAGGTGTATGCTGGGGGCGGGGTTGAACCTTTGAATTGTGGATATTCAAAATCTAGCTTGCTCAAAGATGTTTTTCTAGGAACTTCTACCTCTACGTGATTTTTTTCTTTGCAGTTAAAATCCAAAGTTAAATCCAGTATCTAACTGGGCTACCAATTTTTAAACAAGTAGCCATTTAGTAAATGTCCCAACTCTTGTTAACTTTTTCATTTCCTGTAATGAGTTACAGAATCACGATCTAATGCCGGTGGATTTGTTCAAAACATTTGAAAATAAAAATTTCTCTACACATTTTTTGCTAAGTCATTGTGGAGCCATTTTTGAGCCAGAAATGTGACAACCTTTGGTTGGAGACCAAATTGCAAACAGAGATCCAGTGTTTCTCTTCTAGTTCCTTTTCTGCTCTCATCTTGTGCACAGAGTAGCAAATATTACTGCTTTTGCAAAAAAACTACACAGCAGCTTTTATCCTGTGGCTATCAGGGCACTGAATGGCAATTAACACCCCCCACCCCACCCCAAATTCTTAATTCAATTTTATGTGCAATATATAATAAACAAAAAAAAGCTAAAAAAAAACAAAAACACTTGTACGTCGCTTTGGATAAAAGCGTCTGCGAAATGAATAAACATAAACATAAACATAAACTGGTGCAATATTATTATGTGTATAATTGTTAGCCGTCTTTCACACATAGTCAGTGTGAAATGATTCAAGTGCAGAGGTTCATGTGCAGTACTGCTCTCTGGTTTAATTCTTTAATATATATATATATATATATATATATATATATATTAGATCCTTTTTATCTTTATATATACATTTTTTAAATCTAATTATTTGTTTTCAATTTCAGACACGGGGATTGCATCTAATTTCATTGTACTTGTTGCAATGACAATAAAGGTTATTCTGATTTCTACTTTGTTTGCTGACAGTTTCAGCGTCACACAGTCACCATCATCAGAGCTTTGTCGGAGTTGATGGCGTCACCTCCACTGTATGTCCACGAGCAGTAGAGGGCAGAGAGCGACATCGTTCCCTACTGCCCGCGAAAGAAACAACGGAAGTGACACCATCAACACCGGCAAAGCTCTGATGATGGGAAAATTATTTTCCGTGCCTCTAAAGTTGATCTTCGCCCGTGAGCGTCATGTGTCGCGTTATCAGGAAGCTAACAATCTATGAACTATGAGATTATTTTGGGACGCCGCTATGCCTAAAGCGAGGCGCAAACTGGAAAAGCTTCTGCAGCTCACACTTCGACAACGGATTCTGATAGAAACATGCTGATTCTTCCAGATGTAACAAGTGAGTCTACTCATTCTTTTTTTTTATTCTTTTTTTTGTAGTTTTGGCGTGTACATGGTCATGGAGCACAATATTCTGTGACTCTTCATTTAACTGTAAAAATGTTTAAAAACACTAGCTTTCTGTTCAGGTAATGGCTGGCAGTGAATGAGTTCAAATGAAAGCTGCATCCTTTCACCTTCTAGTCTTAATGCTAAGCTAATGGTAGCTCTTAGCTTTTATTTGGTGGTCACACTGATAAAGAACAGCTGGCATATGATCAAACAAGCATTCTTCTCAAATATTTCCCATTGACCTTTCTGTGTTTGACTCTTCCTGGTAAAGCCTTAAATAGCAATAGGCAGTTAGATCTATTTCCGTTGACATTTTGTTTTTTTACGTCCCAGTTCCTCTGCTCCCTGAAAGGCGTTTCACATCTCAAAGATGCTTCTGTAGTTCAACAGATTGCAGTGGTTTATGAGTAGTTCATGTCTCTAAGGCCCCTTCTCTTCAACTGCCTTTTAAATATCTGTGTTGCACAAGAAATGAAGGAAGAATATTGAAATATAAAATGAACATATGGTTTCTCTGCAGGCGGGTGGGATGATCAGTGTGGTGGCACCACCCTCACACCAAGAGGCCAACGTGTTTCATAATAAAATCATGAAAAGGTTTTATCTTCATGGGATAATTTTGTTTTTAATAGTCTCAGAAATTATTCTCAGCATGTTGTTAACATTATGTCATTTAATATTTATACACTAGAGCTATAAGGAATATAAGTCTGAAATGCTTTCCTGCGAGGTCTTCATGAAAAAAGGCTCCAGTTTTAATGCTTTATTTTAATAATTTCAGTTGTTACTTTGTACAAAACTTAAGACATAAAAGACGAGTAGCTGTTATTATGAACACATGGTTAAATATAGGCCTAGTAAATCATGATTTCAGGTGTTTATATGACCTGAAACAGGGTTTCCCTTACATAGGCATAGAAATCCCACCGCCACGCCTACAAGATCCCAAGTTATTATTATTTTTTTTTGCACTGTTTCCCGAAGAAGCAGCGGGAACTACTATGTTGTCGCTTGTGATCACAGCCGGCGGGCAGCAAGGAGCAGGCAGGGCAGGGTTAAGTTACAGCATAAGTTACTGAGTTTAAAATTAGAAAGGTAGCAGTGGATATAATGCTTTTTGGTTTACATGTTTCAGTAGCATTAAGATAAACGAGTGTTGACGATCTTGACAGGTTTTCCTCCAGTGCTTATTAGGCCAGGTTTCCTCCCCCCACCAGGCTAAGCATCACTTATTCATGTAAAATTTATTTATTTTTTTCATGTCTGACTTTAACCGCATCTAATACTGTATTACGGCGTGAGCGCAACAGCGACAACTTAAGATCGATGTGTGAGCAGCCTGAGAGGTCGGGTGTTTCATCTGAACCCTTAAAACCTCCAGCAGGCTACGCTGCACTATTGACGTGTTAGCGCGCAGCGCTAACAACTTAGCGACGTGACATGTCTCGGAGAAAGCGTAAAAACACGTTAGACGCTTCTTCTGAAGCGGGAAAATAACACCTCTTCTTAAGCAGAGCACGACGTCGCCTCGGCTCGTTCACGGCCGAGCCGCACACCGGACTGAGCTCGATAACATTGACCCAGCACAGCCACTGGGTCGTTGGAGCTGCCCCGTGACTGCCTGATGGAAAACCAGCGGGTTCCATCAGACTCGTAGTTTCTTGTTTTTGCTGGGGACCCCCTGTATTTTACCGCTCCCTCCTGCAGTCTTCCCCTATTAAAACTTAAAATGATTCTGTAAATTTCGTGTATCAATAGAAACAATCTCTGCCTCTGCCAGCTGCAGTAAATGTAATTTCCAAATAATAAATAAGAGGTGCATTCATTTGTGTATCTCCTTTGATCCGCATTAGTGATATTCTCAGCACCAGAACAATGAAGCAAAGAAAGATTCCTGAGTTTGTTTGTAATTTTATTTATTAGGTGCATCTGACCTGTGCTATTTTTCTCTGAAATGAGATCAAATCAGTGCTTCTATGGGTTGTCTCCTCTCTGCACTAAAAATATTTACTTTATTTAGGGACTTGTCATAATTTCTCTTCCCCCCCCCCCCCCCCCCCCCCCGCCCCCCCAGCCACAGTTGGAAAAATTCCTAGGGGAAACACTGTGAAATCATCATTATCATGATTATAATTGAAGAACTGGGTTTAGGTTTAATTGTGGTTCTTTTTTTTTTATTCATACTGATGCTTTTTTCTTCTTTTGATCCCATTTCTTGAGACTTTCTCTAAATTTATCCTCTGCCTGTCGTTCCCTTCATAAATAAATATAGTTTCCACTTGCTCAGAAGGAAATCCATCCCTGCCTCTGAAAGTAAGCACTTTTTCTTCCCCTGCATCTTGTTTTCTGTACAGACCGAGACATGCCCCTTTTGTCTGCGTGGGCTTATCAGCAGAAGCACAAACCTGCTCTTTTGTTCGAGCCCTTGCGACCCTGAAATCCCCCCCATATCCCCGAAGTTTAAAAATAGCAGCTGAATGGGCAACCAAGGAACATGTTGATGATAAAACCCAGCAAAGAAAACACAGAGGAAGGGAGGGTTTTCATTATTCTCACATGCAGACGTCACACGTGTTTATACCATCACAAAATGAAAGCAAATCGCTTGATGTTACTGTTAAAACGTCTTTGATTAAATGAAATTTGAGGTATTTGTGTGACAACAAAAACCACCATAAACATGTTGGACAATGCACTATTACATCCAGTAATATAGATTTTGTCAACAGTAATTTAAACCACTTTCACATCCGGTTGAGTCCGGACCGGGTTGGGTCAGCCCGCTCTCTTTTTTAGGTAGGTGTGAGCTTCAGCTGGCCAATCAATCGATACTGCGTATGTTGGGTCGGCTTCGTACGAAGCTGACCGCAGGTGAGCAGGTCTAGAAGAAATGGTCGGCTAAAGACGGAAAATGTACAAATTTCCTAGCCTGGCAAGCCAGACTAAATAAATGTATTATTTAGTCTGGCCATGCTCCATTGATGGCTCTCGGTTGTGGGGCGGGTTCTACCGTTGTCTTTCAAATGATCTCCGCATTCCACTGGACAATGAATGTGACATACTCTTGTTTCACTCTGTTGCATCATCCCACCCACCAGGCATATAGAGTGCCCTGATTGGCCCACAAAGCGGATAAAGCTCTGTGATTTGTTCACTAAGCAGATAGAGCACTATGATTGGCCCACCATTATGGACCAATCACAGCTCTTTATGTGTTTGAAACCCCTCTAGAGAGCTGTGATTGGCTAGCCAGAGTCCTGGTAGGAGCTGCGGAGGTTCCAATGGAGCATGCCTAGACCAAACTTTGCAAAGCAAGAATTTGGTCTAGTTCACTAGGCTACAGATTACCTAGATGTGATCACAATTAACCTACCAGGGCTGGGCTGGGCTGATTTTCCAGAACTGCGCTGCTCTGGGTGGCTGCATGTTGGAGTAGCTCTGTTGACTATATGTAAGTTTTGCCTTTTCTTGGGCATTTTTTCTTCTAGTTTCTCAAGAAAAACTGTATTTTTTGGACACTTTACTTTTCTGTTTCTGGTGCTGTGAAGCTTGGAGGATTTTTACTGCTATTTTTTAGCTTTTTTCACTTTTTGAGCATTTGTTATGATGTGTAACCATGGCAACAAGCTGGTTTACAATCGGGAGCAGCTGCTTAACATTGGAAAGGCTGAAATAATACCTCAACTGAAGCCACAAATCCCAAATGAGCTAAAATGCAAGAAGCGTGGTGTCACGATCTGCTCCTACCTCCCTCTTACTCCTGCCCCTGATTAGTTTTTATTGGTCTCACCTGCCCCTCTTTAACCTGCCCATGTGTTCCTGATTGTTCCCTGTGTATTTATACCTCCCATCTTGTATGAGTCAGTGTTGGATCATTGTCGTATGTCGTCGTTCCCGCTGTATCATCTGCTATTAAATCCATTTTACTTTATGTGAGCCTGCATTTCTGCCTCCTGGTCAGCTCCACCACACACGGTCCACCACCACCCACACCGCATCATGACATGTGGGTGTAGAGCGGGAGCAAAACGGAGACAGAGAAAGAGGAAATTCAAACCATCTCTTCCATTGATCATAACGGGCAATGTGAGATCACTGGCCAACAAGATGGAGGAACTCTAAGCCCTTTCAAGGACTCAGCCAGAGTTTCGGCAGTTTCAGGACCGCTGGAGGAGATAATGCAAAGAAGGATTCTTCAGAGAATCAAGAAAATGATGGACAACCCTGAGCATTCTCTTCACAAGACTGTCCGACAACGGAAGAGTGTCTTCAGTCAGAGGCTTCTTCAGTTTCACTGCAACACTGACCGCTACTGGAGATCCTTCCTGCCAACAGCCATTGTAATATACAACAACTCTTTCATGACTTGATTATTATTATTATTCTGAGCTACTACAGCAATCAATTTCCCTCTGGGATTAATAAAGTAATTTTGAATGTAATTGAACTGAATTTGAAAGCACCATTAGACCGCAGCTGTAAATGATTTGCTTTTTTTTTAAAATCTTTAACCCTCCCACTGTCTTTATGGGTGACCCCGCGAGCAAAGTTGACCAATGAGCAAGATTGATGATTTATCCCTTGAGGTCCACGTGGCAGGGGTGAGGTGGTGCTCACTTATGTCCTCTTTTTAAATATTAAACAAGGTTCTTTTAGCTTCGGACATGAAGGTGCTTCGAGAACAGAAGAACAGCTGATAAATATGCGTCACACAAACACCTTTGACATTTCTGACGAAGACCACAGACGACGGTCGAAACGCATAAAGGTAACTCGAAACACCTTCATGTCCGAAGCTAAAAGAACCTTGTTTAATAACATTTTTTGTTCAGTTTAGTTCATTAAAGCCATTTTACTGCATCAGATTTAGCCTTACATGTTTGTTTGTAACTAGTAGTCAATATTGAGGGTTGTATTCTATAATTAAACATTTAAAATCTGGACTGAAGAGCCGGTATTTTGTGTCCTTCCTGGAGTTTTTGGAGCATTAATGGTTCTCTGTCCTTCTGAAAAGGTTACTTTAAAGCATGAATGCCAACTAGTGCGCAAAAAATCTTGCCACCTGAGATGATCAAAATAATTATTAAAAAAATAACTTTTATTTGTGTCAGGGTCTTTTTAGTCTTTTATTTCCCAGTTTCGTCCTGAAAGACACACATCTTGGTCTTCTAAGCTCCAGCCTGCAGTGTCTCTGAGTTGAGTCCGTGTGGACGTGTAAACCAGGTTGATCTGTAATCATCGTGACTCATTCATCTGTGATACTGACCCGTCTGAGAGCTGCTGGGTTCTGCTAAGCTTTTCATATGTTCCAACGGAAAAGAAAAAGCAGAGCGGGCTTTAAGCGATGAGTCATGTGAGCACAGTGCTGCTTTCTTTGTGTCTTTTGTTTTCAGTTAGCATGCTGACTGTGGAGAGAATCTTTATCCATGTTTTTTGTGTTCGGTACCTTGCACTGAATAATTAAAGCCGCGAGGCGGGTTGAGCTGTCCGTGCTCTCGGGCTTCTCAGCTGAGCGTCCGGCTCCGGCCTCGCTGTTATCATCCTCCTCGTCCGACCGGAGGCTTTTCTCGCTTTCCTCCAGAGACTCCCTCTCCTCAGTTGAGTCATCCGCTGTGCTCTCACTCCTCTCCTCCACTTCGGCAGGTCCATCCTTTGTGTCGGCCAGAGGGGACCGAACCCTACTGCTCGGGTCCCGGGCCTCACCTTGCAGCCGGGTGATGTTTCCCGCCAGCAGGCGCCGCTGGACTATGCTGTGAGGTTGCTTAAAAGAAGAAAAAAAACTGGATTAAGGAAAATGTTGAGTTCCATCATCTACTTTCTGCTGGATTTTTATTGGACATGTTTGCTTCTTCACAGTAACGTGAGGCGCCGCGGCAAGATTAAAGTCAAAATGACGATTAAAAGTCTAAATAGGATTTCCTGAACAAAGTCGAAAACCAACAACTTAGTTCCAGATAAAAAGTCGGAATGAATCAATAATTAGACATTTTATCAGTAAAGCTGCTATCAGTTGGCTACTTCCATAGCAGCACCCACAGCAAAACTTAGAACTTCCTTTAAATCTTCACAATAAGAGCTTCAAACATAGGGCATTTAAAGTTTATGAAAATAGTGGTAACACTTAAGTTTAAGGAACACAAATTAGCAATTAATTAGCTGCTAATTATACGCATATTAGTGGACTACTAAGTCTGAATTAGTCATTATTAAGATATTATTAGGTGCTTATTACCAGTGCTGTAATTCTAATATTAATAGGCCATAAATTAGGATTTTTATCATAATGGTTCGTTAACTCAAAGTAAAGGGTTTGTTGCTGATTAACGCATATGCTAATTAGCTAAAATCCATACGAGGCTTTTAAAAAAGTAATTCAAGGGGAACTCATTCTTGCCTTAAAGTGGTTAATTAATACAGAACTACTAGTAATTAGGTATAAACAAAATCTGAATTTAGAATGGAGAACATATTCTTACTTACAAGTGGTTAATTGATTGTTGTTTGGGCTCTAACATGTGGAGTTTAGTGTTTATTTACTTAATACCAGAACATAATATTTTTGGTTATTAATGCAGAATAACTATTCCCCTTGAATTACTTCTTTAAAAGCCACAGATTGATTTGAGCTAATTAGCATGTGCGTTAATCAGCAACAGACCCTTTACTTTAAGTTAACAAACCAGTATGAATGGCTTATTTTGATAAAACTCTTAATTTATGGCCTGTTAATATTGGAATTACAGCAATGGTAATAAGCACCTACTACTATCTTAATAATGACTCATTCAGACTTAGTAGTCGACTAATATGCATATGAATTGGCAGCTGATTAATGGTTAATGTCTGTTCCCTAAACTAAAGTGTTACCAAAATAGTTTATTAATGAATGATGAATGAAAGCCTTATAAGTCCCATAGTCATCATCACACTCTGGTAAAATTCATCTCCACATTTGACCCATCCTCGTGGAGGGGAGCAGTTGTGGCCACGCTCGGACACTATTTGGCAGTTTAACCTCCCGATCCAACCCCTTAAAGCTGAGTGTCAAGCGGGGAGGCATTGGGCCCCATTGTTTAAGTCTTTGCTATGTCATGACCGGGAATCGAACCCCGATCTCCCAGTCTCAGTGCGGACACTCTACCACTAGGCCACCTAGTCGTTATCTGACGAAAAAAAGCCTGAGTGCACCTGGTTGAAGATGTAGAAGTAAGCTGGAAGAGAGAGTGGTAGAACATGATGGGATTTGGAGCCTTGTTTCCTGATATTTGGACATCTCTCCACTGAGTTAGTTTGCTTGGCAAAGGTGAAGTTTTATCTCCACAAATAACACAAGCCTGGAGGAGTTTTTGCTGTTTGGTTTTTCATTTGATCTTTAAAACCATTTTCTATTCACTTTCCTATGAAGAAAAGCATAAATAACCTGTAACTTTCAAGTGTTTTGAGTAACGAGTGTATTTTTGAGACTCTTGCTGGTAAATAAATGGTAAATGGTCTGTATTTGATAAAGTGGCTTCCAAAGCTCCACAACCCCCCGTGGTGCTTTACAACACAACCAGTCATCCTCCTAAGCACACACACATTCATGCACTGATGGTAATAAACTACACTGTAGCCACAGCTACCCTGGAGCGCAAGGCTGTCAAGCACAGATGCCGCCGGTGCCTCTGAGCGAAAGAGAATGGATGGATGGATATTCATGTTTTCTTTAAAATTTAATTCTCTTTAGTGATCCTTTAATCTTATGTTAAGACAAATGAAATCCCTTACAACAATATTCAGCCATAGGCATCAGTGTCGAAACATTAGCTAATGTGAACTTTTACAGATATCCAGTCTAACATCCAGGCTGCCTGTTTAACTTTGACCTCTGCTTGTTACTTTACTGTCTGAGTCTGGAAACCCATCACATTCAGGAAGTCCTGATTCATGCCTGCCTTTTATATTTAGGTCATTTTTATTCGTATTCTTTTTTTTTACCAGCCACTTTTCCCCACTGATATAACTTGAATGTTATCAGCATATTGTTTACAATATGAGCAGTATTGTTTTTTGGTTCAGATTAACGTCAGACTTCCACAGTTTCATGCTGTTGGTGACTGTTATGGAGCTAGGATTGGGATGCGGATAACTCTCTCTTTCTACAGCTCTAACAGAACCCTGCCCTCCTCTCCCAATGATTGGACAGGAATTCGAGAAACGTGATTGGTAGCTAAGACTCTTGCTCTCATTGGTTCCACCCAAGTTCCTCCCACCGACGCTAGAATTGAGACAAAATGATCTGTAACGCTGTAGATTTGAGGTTTGTACCTGTAGAATGAAATGTGTATTTTGAGAGTTTTGATTTCAAACTTGTACCTTGATTTTTTTATTTTGGAAGTCTGCTAGGAAAAACCGAAAGTTTCATGTTTCTGAATGAATGTTTGATGTTACAAGCTGAGTAGTAAATGTACAAAATAAAAGTTTGATTTTACAAAATAAAAAATACATGTACAAAATGAAAATTTCCTGTTACAAAACAAGAAATACAAGTACAAACTGAGAATTACAAGTTAGAAAACTGAAGTTACAAGATACAAATCCAAAGTTACGTGTCATGAAACATGTTCCAAGTTACAAAACTTGGTACAAGTTACATTGAATATTGTCCCAATCCTAGCTCCATAGACTGTCTGCCCTTTCTGTATCACATTAGCAGAAAATTGTATTTAAGCTGCCTGTTCCTCTATAATCTGATTGCTTTTGTTTTTACCAGAACACAATCTGTTCAGACCTCGAGCTCCTGCAACTCTAGCAGACTCAAATCATTATAAGGAGTTTGCTGCTTATTCCCTGTTTTCACAATACTTTTCCACAGAGACGTTTCATCAAATGCATCTTCAATTCAATTCAGTTCAGTTTATTAATATAGCGCCAAATCACGACAAGAGCCATCTCAAGACACTTCACAAAGTTAAAAAAACTAATGTGCTCCAGCAAAGAAAGAGCAAAGAAAGCAAAGCGTTTAGAAATCTCTGCATTAAGCATCTGAAGAAGATGAGAACAGAGGTTCTGTAAACAAGGATCTCTGATATTACTGGACCTTGAACATAAGACTTAAGAGAAAATTTAAATGTTTAGTTTTGCTGGTAAAGAAAACTACAAGTACTTCAGATCTAGCGATGGGTACCGAAATCGGTACTTTTTTAGGTACCGACCGAATTCCACAGTACCGACTGAGCACCGATTGACATCATTTGAAACGGTGCCTCGTTTCGGTACCCGTCCTTCATAATGAGAACTTGCCTAGACAGCTGCGCATGCGCAAGAGCGTTATGTCGTCGGTCCCTGCGAGCCAGTTGTAAACAGAGCAGCATGGTAGAAAGAACGCACGCTAACGCTTGGGTCCACTTCACTAAATGTGATGGGTAACTGGGTGATGATGAAACCAGCGACAACGATCTAAGTGAGACATCCTCATCTTAATCTGCTCCGGTAGGTAAATAAAATGTTTAAGATAACGTTAGCTTGATATATTAGCTTCCGTTCCGCTAATGGTGCGTTCGCTTTCTCCTCGGAACTCCAATTTTCCGATTAGAAGAACATGAACGCGCTCTAAAGTTTGGCTTCACTTTACTACATGCGACGGGTGATTGGGTGAAGATGAAACCAGCGACAACGATCTAAGTGTGAGGCATCATCGTTTTAATCTGCTCCAGCAGCTAAATAAACTGTTTAAGATAACGTTAGCTTGGTATGTTAGCTTCCATTGCCACCATTGTTATCAGCTAATGGTGCGTTCGCTTTCTCCTCGGAAATTCTAACTTCCCAGTAGGAAAAATCTAATGAAAAAGGACGGCAAAAGGAATGAAGATACACAGTAAATTTAGTTCACAGTAAAGATGTTTGCTTCAGTTTAATTATCAGCTTATAAAACTACAAGGACGATGTTAAAATACAAACAGTTGTCTGTTATTTATCGTGATATTTATCAAATATGGTTATAAATTGAGAAAAATATGTATTTAATTATAAAAGAGAATGAAAATATTAAACACTCAAAAGTATCTAAAATTGGTACCGTAATGTACCGGTATCGATTGGGAATTGGTACCGGATCGATTCAAATGTCAAAGGTACCCATCCCTAATCAGATCACTACGTACATAGCATTCATCGTAAACGGCGTCAGAGACACTCGTTTGAATAGATCTACCATTTCTCTTCCCTCTGGAAAGTCCTTCTGTCTGAGTACAACCAAACAAAACCACTTCTGCACTGAATGTTTGTAGAACCGAGAGGGCAAAAAAACATTTTCTTTACTAATCTGTCAGTTTCACATTTGGTCAAACTGTGTCTGTGCTGCTGCTGTTGCTCAGACGGTTGTTATATAAAAGTGGTTCAGCAGGGTTGATCTTATGGTCACATCTTGATCTGGTTCAGAAGCAGGTTGAGATTAGAAACCATAATGATGTGGTTAGTTAAGGTGAGGAATGTGGTTTATGTGAATGATGTCACATGTAAGATAATTAATTGTAAACAGTTATAAATGAGAACAAAGCTCACTGTGGGGGACATTCTCAGCTCTTTTTGCTCACTGGAGTTTATCCACTTTAGGTGTCATAAAAATGATTTTTAGGCTGGGGAGGAGGTTAGCTCTGTCTGGTTTTCCACCCACTTAAAATCAAGCCCTGTCTGCCTCTTACAATCAGTGGGTAGTGAGCGAAATGTTGTGATAATCAGACATCTTGGATTAAAGCAGTTCTCTTCAATGTATGAAGTGTT